AAAGAAGATTTACTAGGCAAGAAGTAACACAACTCTATTTTCTGTCAAATTAAGCAGATGGACTTGGCAAGCTTTTTTACATTTGGAACTTCTCACATTGCTTTAAGCAAATCACAGATACAAGCTATAATGGGTTTCATTGATGCACTGCGATTAGACCATCAAACTGTAAACCTGCATCCTCTTGATTATAGTATTAAAGTATTATTAGACGCAAGATGATATTCAAGATGATATTCAATTCCATGTCTCAGCTGCGACTGACGTCCATGATGATGTAAAAGCCTTGTATTCATGTTCGTCTGGAATTTATGAATGGAACGAAAGCAACTTTTTAAAACTGAAAGAAAAACAAAACAAATGCAATTTTCTCAAGTACTAAGCCAAAAAAAGAGAAGGCTCTTACCAACACCTACAATTTACAGTGGATGCAAGGGTTCATATTAGAGTTGTCAGCTTAACATCTATCGGCCCAAGCCTAGTTCATATACTGTTTCCTTCAACTATATGATGCTACAGATCTGTTTACTTACTATATCACTGTTCAGAAATTACAGTATGCACCTTTATTTACATACCAAAGACTAGGACTGCATTATAAATCATATTTTCATTGTGATTACGATTTCTGCTCCTCTTGATTAAGCATAATAATCTGCAATATTTGAACCCAGGTTATTTATCCTGAAAACATTTATCTTTCATTGTTGAGCAGCTGAGTTGAACATGCTAAAAAAAAGACATCTTCCTTATGAAAATGCTAAGCTACATCAAAATTATACAGTGCCCAGTGTTTTACTTTATGTTCCCAAACAAAAAACCAAGCACATACACCCTTGTAAAAAAAAAAAAAAAAAGTTTTGGCAATGACCAATGTAATAAATACACTGAAGAGAATTCACACTGTACACCTGACACATATCAAATGTAAAACACAGTTCTTCAGCCATTTGCTTGACCACTATAAACAAAAGACTTGTCTACCATTCTCTTCACCAATGAAAATTTCTGACACTTTCGTGACTTTTCCTTTACCTTTCCAAACATTTATGATTACTAGGGACGTAACGATGCACCCCGAGCCAGTTACAAATATGTGACTATTCAAATTGGTTGAGATGTTAAATGAATCGCAATACAGTTGGGGGTGGGGGTTTCGATTAATGTATCTCTTAGGGGAACTGACTGTCTTTAAAGTTTAGATGGCATTTTCTTTTCATCTTACCTCCATATAATGCATATTAATGTAGTGTTTATAAGCTCAGGGCTGCTTTGTTTACAGAGGTTTTGTTAATAGTTTAAGTATTTGCTATTGACTGTTCAAATGCGGAGTTTTGCGCATCATGTGTGTGTGTGAGAGAGAGAGACAGCCTCACATCACAGTAGATTCTGTGATTAACCGCGGCTTGTGTACTGCATCATTACTGTGTCTGTTCCTCTTTTGGGCTTGAACTGATGGTAAAACGAATGACCTTATTTACTCTCTTTACATTTATTTTGAAAGATGAAGCTCGCGATTATGGTAAGGGGCGTTACATTTCCGACGAGTGCTTGCGGTGTTCGGCCAATCACAATGCACTGGGTCAGCTGGCCAATCAGAGCAGAATGCGCTTGTCGGAAGGAGGGACTTTGTTGAAAACGAGAGGGGGGGCATAGAGGACCTACGATAATGTACAGTATTTGAAAAATAATGTGTTTTTTGAACATCAAAGCATGTCAACATATTCTGTTAGACCAAATACACAAAATAATGATCTTTAAAAAAAGCATCATATGACCCCTTTAAAAAAAATCTGACCGACCCCACATTTTGAACAATAGCCTAAAGCTTTTTCCAGCCCTGGAAAATGAAACATTGTCCAAGACCACAAGAGCCTCAGACCACATCAAGGTGACCCTTTAATACATAATTCAGTATTGAGTATATTTCTAGAGTGACGCATGGCTGACATCTGAGTCTTCCATTTAGGACATTTGTCACTTAAATTTCATTTCATTACTTTTAAATCACCTGTGTGTGTTGCATATAAAGGCTATAATGCAAGGTGAATCAGCAAAATGCTGACAACTTACTTTATTGGACCATTTGTAAGCCTGGAGCAGCTGGCTGTACAGAGGGGTTTTGTCCTGAACGGGGTCTAAACTGAGCAGTCCACTGTTGTGTAAGGGGTGACTCTCTGACGGCCTGCCAACCAAAGTGCTGAGACGCTCCAATTCACTGCAGAAACAAGAAACAGAAGTCAGGCTGGTACGGTTGATATTTTTTAACATACATAATGAAACCAATGACACACTTCACTCACGAAAATGACACTATATAATTACATAATTTTAATTGTGGTTCCCAAAGTCAAGATAAAAATCGAGCTATTTTGACTTTCTGAGCCATAAGTAAAAAAGATGTCAGTCATTATTTAGAAAAGCATACCATAATAATACATTAAAATCATAATAAATTAATGTGGGATTTCAGAATGTCATAATTGCTTTTTTATGTTGACAGCAACGGGTTGTACTTCGTTACCATGGTTTATTACAATAACACTTGCATTTTGGCAGTGACTATGGTTACCGTTATAACATTTCACAGTGTTAGTGAACGGGCAGACAATGAACTCACTTTAAATCGCGATTGACTGACTGCAAGTTATCTTGGAATTCAGTTATAAAGACTTTCTCCCGCCCTTCAAGGGTCTCCTTATTTTTCATCCCATCTTTAAGAGAATCGAACACCTTGGTGACACTCGATCGAAGAGCCTGGATGGCATTAATCGCTTGAGAAAACGCTTCTAAATTCACTCCAACATTCATAACGTCCGCCATGGCGCCTCCTGAGTGAGTCGTCCGCGGACGCTGGCGCTCGAGTGACGTCACTAACGCTGAACGGAGGATGGGATTTGTAGTTTCTAATGCATCTTTTGTGACTTACAGGAAGAATCCATAAAACACTTACAGTATTTTATGATTGTGTATTTACCCAAATGTTTTGGATTGATATTGAATATCTTATATTTAAAATGATAAAATTAAAGATTCGACTCTCTGTTAAAGATATATTTGCTGTTGTTTGGAGCAAAATTCGGTGATTAATTTAATAATTATGCAGGGAAATATCATATACACAAACAAAAATGGACTAATAATAAACCTAACATTACATTATTTAAAATTGAACTTAAGCATTACATTGAAGAATTAAAAGATCTAAAAAATAAAAAAGCAAAAAGGATGTATAGAATTTTTTTTATCCTTTTCTTATGAAAATTTATTTTAAGTCATCCCCTGTAGTTTTCCCCCCCAATTTTTTCTCCTTTATTTTTTTCTGTTTGTTCCTTTGATGCTATTATAAATGTAATTGATAATAGTTTAAAATACTGTGATTCTCTATATAGGTATGTTATGTTACTGTTCTTGTTATGTAATAATAATAATAACAATAATAATAATAATTGTGGTTTCTAACAGGGACGTAAGGAGAAAATATAGTTCAGTTTTGTAATCGTCGTTATTGGTACCAATAGTCTAACACAAACAAAATGATTGATGACTGTATAAAAACATAGACGTAGTGTCCGTGACGTCACCCGTAGGTTCCTGAAGAGCGTTTTTGATGCTCAAAGTGGGCGGAGCCGGCCGCGCGTCACCGCGCGTCACTCCCGGATAATCGAAAATGGGCAAAAAGGCGGGAGCTGGTTCTGTGGACGAAGCGGAGTCCAGCCCGGGGTCGTCACATGTGGTTGCCGCAAGCCCTCCGGACGCTCCTTCGTCAAATCTGCCGGCAGCACCGTTCTCAAGCCCGCCGCCTCTGCTCACTCTAGCCCTCCGGCCGTTCCTCACTCTAGCCCCCGGCTAAATCTTAATTACAAGAAAATGACTCAAATGACGAAGCTAAATGTTTGGCAAAGTTGCAGATTGTATCTTTCATATTTAATTTCTGTTTTAAACTAATATCTAGCTAGTAGGCAAAAACCCTGTTTCTGTTCATTGCTTCAATTTACACGCCCCGGAAAGTATCAGACAGCTCCATTAAACGACACAAACAGCTCTAAACCGTTTGAAATCACTAAACACCTTTAGAGTAAAAATTTCATTCGAGTTTTCAGCCCGATTCCTTACAGAAATTCACCTTGGTAGCAATAGTCTCCGCCAAAATGCCATAGTTACGTTATTGTAGTGTATGACCCTCCTTTATTTGACCCTCTAACTCTAACACTTTCTATTCTATTTTAATTCTACTTTATATTTATCTTCTTCTTTTTTTTTTTTTTATTAAAACAAAAAAACAAACAAACACTAGCTTTCTATTTTTTCTGTTCGATCTACTTGTTTTTCTTTGTATGTGTGTGTGTGTGTGTGTGTGTGTGTGTATAATTCAGTGTGTTTCTCTCATCTTATTGCGTGTTACTTATTCATTTATTTATTCTACTGTGTACAATTGACCAAAGTTTTACTAAAGCAATACCTCTAACATTTTGACCCAAACTATGGTATATTCTGTAAGGGGTTGGCTTGTCAAACAACATGTAGTAGGCTACGCTGTGAAAGGAGATTTGGGAATCCTCAGCCTCTGATCTGTCTCTTTAAGCGGGGCGGACTGCCTCATCTGCTGCTGGGACGGTTCAGCTCCTCAAGCCCGTAGATAAACTTCTGCTCCACACTAGTTCGACTAGACAAGGCAGGCAGGTTGCAGTGGCCAAAAGTGTTTTCATCGAGGTTTGCAAAAGAGAAATGAAAGTCAGATAGTGCGTTGCTCAATGGCTACAGTAGATAAGGCAGAGTGAATGGAGCAGGAGCGAGGATGGGAACGGGAGGTACTCTGAAGTCTGTCCTTGAGCGCACAGGACAGATGCATCAATGAAGGTGGGACAGGAACCAAAACTTTAAACGCACGTTTTTCAGGCAATACTTGATTCGGTTCGGAGCTGTCTGGATGTAGGGCATCAATCTAGAATGCTTTCCAACAAACTACGTGGCAGCCGAAGAAAGCACGAAGGAAAAGAGAAATGAAAGTCAGATAGTGCGTTGCTCAATGGCTACAGTAGATAAGGCAGAGTGAATGGAGCAGGAGCGAGGATGGGAACGGGAGGTACTCTGAAGTCTGTCCTTGAGCGCACAGGACAGATGCATCAATGAAGGTGGGACAGGAACCGAAACTTTAAACGCACGTTTTTCAGGCAATACTTGATTCGGTTCGGAGCTGTCTGGATGTAGGGCATCAATCTAGAATGCTTTCCAACAAACTACGTGGCAGCCGAAGAAAGCACGAAGGAAAAAGCGTTTGCTGTGATCTGCGGAGAGGAGTAACGTGTGCATGTGTTTCTCATCCATCTCAAGTGATATGGCAGGGAACTGACTGAGGGAGAGAGTTTATACAGAAGACATTCATCTGGGAACAGTAAAGGTGCTGATCTCTGGAACCGAGGCAAGGTTACTCAGGCTTATGTATTTTGGTCATTGAATATTCTCAATCTCTTATAAGCGCTCAGAGCACGGACAGCGTTTCAGATGCTCTTTGATGAATTCAAGTAACTTAAGCTCATGAGGAGATTATTGTCTATCGCATTTCCCGGATGCTTTTGGAAAAGTGCTTTTAACCAAACTTGTTTGCTCAGTTTTCTAACAATTGATTTGCTCATTTCCTTAGTTATTTATTTGCTTTTCTAATAGCCGTTTTGTACATAAATAGGTACACTAAAATGGTGTAATATTTGCGCGCATGTAATGTTACGTTATTTATTTATTCGCATTCTTTTGGAGCATGTCCCGTTCGGATGACCTACTTAAGCGTTTACATAAAAAAATAAAAAATAAAAATAAAAAAGATCGAAAAGTCGAAAAGTTAAAGTTGATCATCTACTGCATAAGGGAAGGTGTGCAGTTTGGAGAAAGCGGCACGTTTTCGAAGCACTGTTTTGAAAGTTCGCCATGTGATGACAAATAATAAATTTGGGCTGGGGAAAAAAACCCGGCAGCTGTGGTTTCCAGAATTTGATCGTTATCGTTAATACATTGTTTTAATCATAATGGTGTCTGTTTACATCACAGTTCATAACTGTATACATAATATAATGTTAATTGACAAACCTAGTTGGGCTTTTAATATCTCTTTGTTTCTATAAAATGTGCTTATAAAAATACAGCTGTACAATATAATACCACATGGTGACTTTAAAGCAAGCAACTATGACCAGCACATTATTACCCACACAACGACTAAACACCATCAGAGCAGCACATGATACAAAAATAATGCAGTAAACCTTAAAAACATAACATTTCATATAAAACATAAGGCATTCCATTCATTTTTATAATAAAAAACATACTTTTGGAAAAATATTATCTTAAAAGTATATTGCCTTATTAAATATACATTTTTTCCATAAACTGTAATGCAGTTGCATTGTCTTTTAAAATATGTTTCACTGTATGTTAGCTAAATTAACCGTTTTTTAACTGTAGAATATATATTGCTTATTTCTGTTTTTTCCCCCCCCCCTATTTCCTAGGCAACCCATCAGAAATGACACAGCTCATCTCATCTCACATGAATCTTAGACTGGACTCTGACACCAGGCACCTTCTTGATTGCATATGAACCACTAAATGCACTTCATGTCTCTGAACTGAAGTGACATTCATCCCTGGACTTGAATTCAGTTGTCACGTATAGAAATTGAACTTTGAATTTTGAAGATGTCACAACAGATCTAAAAATAACACCTCAGTGTGAACAGGTTTTACAGTAAGTCACATACAGTCTTCCACTGAGGACCAGACTTTTTGGCCTTTTGGATGGATATTGGAAATTTCACAATCTAAATAATTTCCATGCTGATACACCTAATAGCTGTGGCGCCCCTTGCCTTTCTCTCATGTCCATGGACCCATCTAGTGCCATGCTCTCACAGGCGCTCCTGCTCTTACAGTGCATTATTCTGACTCTCGGCCAGTACGATATCTGTAAGTCGCTGGTCAGCACAGACGATGGACCAACATGGGAATATTACGCTTGCCAGCCCAAACCCATGTCCATGAAGGAGTACATGCAGATTAGAGTGGAGCCTCCCGATATCACATGTGGGAATCCACCGGAGAGGTTCTGCACTCTGGTGAGTTTGGGCAGGATCACTTTTGGCTCTGCCTCTTTGTCAGTTACATCTGTTCCACTGGAACAGCTTGTGTTTCCATGCAAATATAGTTTGCAATCATGTTTATTTATGATAGTGCAAGTTTGATGGATTTTCGGTGTAACTTTAGAAGCTTCATAGCAAAGAAAGTCTAACAAAGTCTAAAAAAAAAAGATCACATGTACATATACATGCCTTGTGATTATTATCATTATTGTCAAATTCAGGATGTGAGTTGGTGAGTCAAAATCTTTTAAAGGGACAAAAATGAACGGAAAAATGAAAATTGAATTTACTCACCCTCATGTAAATTCCAAACCTGTATGATTTTCTTTCTTCTGTGGAACACAAAAGAAGATATTATAAGAATGCTGGTAACCAAACAGTTCCGGTTCCCATTCACTTCTGTTGTATGGTGAAAAACATAATACTTCTTTGATATTCTTCTTTTGAACACAATTTTGAAGAATGTTGGTAACCAAATAGTTTTGGTTCCCATTCACTGCCGTTATATTTTTTGACTGTATAAAGGAAGCGAATGAGAACCGAAACCAACATTCTTCAAAATATCTTCTTTTGTGTTCCACAGAATAAAAAATCATACAAGTTTGGAACAACATTAAGGTGAGAAAATGATGACAAAATTAAAAAATGTCTGCATACTGTCCCTTTAAAAAGACAAATAATCAGGCATAAAAATAGTTAGGCTGTGTTTATTTTTGGAAAGAAAGGATAAAAGAGAGAAAAGTAATCCAGTAGTACAGTAAGATCTAACACAAGAATGCTAAAAAGTCTTCAAGTAACCCTGATATGTCTACACACAGATTATGCAGTAATCTGCTACATGTGGCCATTAACAATGTGTTTGCTCAGAGAGTCAACAAAGCCCGAGTCGATGTGTAAATTTGCCCACACAGCTGTTATTCAGTGTAGTTTCTCTCCGCGCATGAGACAGCAGCCACCGCAGGATTATCTGTGTAAATCAACTCAGGTTTAGCACCGAGCGTGAGGGTGCAAACAATCTGTGTCTTTCCAGGGCACATCTGGTGACCGATCGACACACCATTCGGGTTACTCTGCGACATACTTGGGATGAGAGATTAGGGCAATCACAAGCATGAAAATATTATCCATTCCATACAATCAGTGTTTGGAGGGGTGAATTTTAGGCCCTCTGTCAGGTTGGTGAGGTATGAGAGTAGCTAAAGTTAATCTCCATCAGAGATGCTTTGGGATTTTAGCCAGAAGCTTGATTGCACAATAATCGGATAGAGGATTTGTCCAGCTGGACTGACACTACGCATGAGGCCCGGAGACGGAGCGCTGCCTCTGACGGGGTGCTAATTCACACATTTAGACTCTGTGGATCAAAGACAGAATGCTGTGGAGGGGGGCGGACCAGATATTGCTCATTCAGTGACATCATTCTCTCAGCATATACCGTGCGGCTCACACAGTGACTACGGGTGGGTAGCTGGACTGTGAAGAGAGTCTGAATTCAGTCACCAAAATCATTTTTCAAGACGCAAATGTACTACAAAGCATAGTGATTCACGAGTGATAGATTTAGTTGTCAAGAGTAAAAAGTAGGAGAAACAGTTTATGGTTTTCGAATTCAGCGTGAAAGAAAGGATACAGTTCTTTGACGCTTGCAGTTCTTTTGCCGTAACCTGTAGGAAGGCTGTACAAAATGTCACAGACCACAAATAGTGGTTAACCAATTTGGATCACCCTGTTGACGGGCTCTTTTCAGCTTGAGATATACCTGTCCCTCGACCTTTCAGATTAGGTGTAAGGCCATTCTATATAGTTTAGGACTGGAATGTGAACAGATTTTAAAACACTAGGCATCATACACTTGCTTTGTAAGTAGTTACAGAGGAAAAACTGGGTATCGTACACTAAATGAATGAAGATTACACACTACCAGACTTTCAAGTATTTGAGATGAAAACAATATAGGCATCTTTACACAGCTAAGTTAAGGCTGCTCTGTGCCGGCTCAAAATTCAGTGTAAAGACGCAATGCCACATCAAAGCCAGTCTTAAAGGGACAGAAAAGAGAAGAATTGTTGAGTAAAGTCGTTATTTTTGTTTTCTTTGCGCACAAAAAGTATTCTCGTAGCTTCAGAACATTACGGTTGAACCACTGATGTCACATGGACTATTTTAACGATGTCCTTGAAACGTGGTAGTTCCGTTGCTGTCTATGCAGGGTCAGAAAGCTCGTCGATTTAATCAAAAATAGCTTAATTTGTGTTTCGAAGATCTTATGAGTCTTACGGCTTTGGAACGACATGAGGGTGGCAGAATTTTTATTTTTGGGTGAACTATCCCTTTAATTATACCTACTCTGACCCACCTCAGTCCCTAGTAACAACGCATACAGTTGTAATTTCTATATAAATACACTCTAAAAAATTATTGCGATTTTAACAGTAAAAAGCTGTAAAAATGCTACAGTAAAAACCTGCTAACTGGTTATCAGGAAGTTTCCATATTATATATGGTGAATAACTGTAATTATATTAAATGTAATTTTACAGTAAAATACTGTTAAAATTATGGTTTTTGTAAGTGAAAAAAGAAAGTCATTATATAATTTACAGTGAAAAACCGTAAATTGATGCTCCCAGAATTCCGTGCATGACACTTCATATTTTGTTTTTTCGTTGAAATAACTATGTTTCTTCTTAGTTTTTCTCATCAGTTGTGTACATTAGGGTTTTATCTTACATCTAATGTTGTTAAATTAATGTTTATTGCATTATTTCAGTATCATGTGTGTCACCATGATGGGGTTTAGTGTTTGTGTGAATGACACTGTGCACCTTATATATATATATATATATATATATATATATATATTAGTATATCCCTTCTCAGCTTGTGGAAGAGCTGTTTGTGATGAGCTTTGATTCATCATGTGACTTTCTCATCACCACCTGTTTTTGGTGGTTATCAGTATTACAATGTTTCAAAACTACTTCAAAACTACTTCAATACGCTGGTTTATTAACATTACATCAGTTAATGAAATACGTTTTTTTTATTGTGAATTTAAATTAAGTCTGTAAAACCTAAAATGTTGCTATTATATATTTAACGGTGAAGTTCTGGCAACCACAGCTGCCGGTATTTTACTGTAAATGTCACAGATTTTTTTTACAGTGTATATTTTTGCCACTTTTGAGCAGCATTAAACAGACACTTAAATGCCACTTCAGAAACGCTTCTGTGCCACATTTGCAGTGTAAATTTGGCATATGTGCTCTAAAATCAGCTCAAAATAGTCTGTGACCATCATACACTATGCGGTTTTCTATGAAATCTGTCAACTCAAATCTGCAGTCTGGCTCTGATTTTTGGCAACTATTGTGTCATCTTGTCCAGACTGTAAATCGGGCAAAACTCTGAGCATTCCAGCCTTTAACCATAGCAAATGAGATACCAAATTGCTAAAATTAAAAGAGAACTTTTCACAAAATGTTTACTCAAAATTCAGTAAAATTTAAATTACATTTCAATTACCGGAAAATTTACAAAAATCTACCACAGGACAATCTGAAAACATTGAGAATACATGTAGCTGACACAAATGATTCTTTACAATGTAATATAAAACAATTTTGAAAATATGAAAGCACATTGTAATACATAATATCTAAATAATATAATAGCATGAACCAAAGTAGACAAGACACATATAAAATTAAATTCAAAATAATAAGAAATGTTTCTTGGGCACCAAGTCATTAGAATGATTTCTGAAGGATCATGTGACACTGAAGACTGGAGTAATGATGCTGAAAATTCAACTTTACCATCACAGGAATAAATTACATTTTAAAATAGAAAACAGCTATTGTAAAAATATTTTATAACATTACTGTTTTTAAAGATATTTTGATCAAATAAATGCAGCCTTAGTTAAAATAAAAAATCTTACTGACCCCAAACTTTTAAATATATAATATATTTATAATATATGATATATATATTTGTTTGCATTTTTAAATGAACAGAAAATGTACAATATTCTCTGACACAATTCCTTGGTGAAAAACAACATTTAATCTTTATTTCAAAAGAGTCAGAGCACACGAATTCAACACCAGCTATTCACTGTTGATTTTTAACAAAAATCGCATTTCGCCACAATTCCTGTAAGTTTCCTATTTTTTATATATTGCACCACATGAAACTTTCTGTCCTCATCTGCTATTCATACAATAACCTGACACAAGGGCGTGTATTTCGTGCATACTGATTACAGAATATATTTCCATGTCGACCTGAGATGGCTTACTGAGCAGAAGAAACTAGAGATGAGTTTAGGAGAAGGGTGTAGTCATGTCCTTCTTTGTCAGCACTTTCTTCTCAGATCGATAAAAAGCTTACTGTTCATCCACTGATCAGCCTGCTCTGCATTCAGATGTTGAGCGAGAGGGAGGGAGGGAGGGAAGGAGGGCAGAGGGGCCAGGCACTTTAAATTGAGGAGACCCTCTGGCATTCACGAGATCAAACTTGCTCCATGTGAGAATAACTCCATGTGCCTGCAGTCACAGTGCGTTTTAAAGCAGCAGTGTTAAAGAGAAGTGATCCTCGCTTGTTTATGGTTACAACTCCGGGAATGAATGTAGCGTTAGGCGTCCTTGACATGAAGTGTCTCGCCTGACTCTCAGTAGTTGTAGGTTAATCATTTATTGCTATTATAACGCCTTCAAAGTAATGCAGAATACATGGCAAAATTATAGAATATAAAATTAGATAATAGCATGAAATAAAACACACAAGATCTCAGGTAGACCTATATAAAAAAGAAAAAGAAATCTAGTTGTCTAGATTATTATAATTTTTTTTTTCTTTATAGGCCTACCTGACTTATCTATTATATGTCATCATTTTTCCATGTATACTATGTATAGAATAAAACATAAACAAATATAAAAATAAACAAAAACAATTAAACTAGCTCTTTC